AAGCTAACTTCGAGTTGATTAAGAAGGAGCTAAAAGTCACTTATTATCTGTATATACNACTATAAGCTAACTTTAAGTTGATTAGGAAGGAGCTAAATGTCACTTATTATCTGTATATACTCTTTGACGAAGGCTAACTATATTTCTATGGCGATGGCCGCGAAATAGTCCAGGGTTGTTTACCTCTGCATTTGATGTAACTTGTAACTAACTACTTTTGGACATAAAATATCAATAAGAAAAACAAAATAATTTTTTTATTTTATTTTTTTATTTTTATTTACTTTATTTATTTTATTACATTTCATATTTGTTTACATATTCTACTGTAGGTAGCCCCATATTCCAACTCCGTCAGATATAACTTCATAACTTATTTGTCCTCAATTCGAAAAAGGATTTGCGAAGTGCAGGATATTTAAATAGAAACGCGTTTAAAGAAAACAATATCCTTCATTACTCCTGCATTACTTGTCAAGTAGTTTCAAGTTAGCTTTTTGTAGCTAACTACAAGTTATTTATTTTTTGTAGAAATACCGCAAAAAAACTAACTACAAGTGGGTTATTTTTTATCAATTGATAATTTTTTTCTGCAGGACAGTACTGGTTAAAGGTTTGGTACGCGANTTACCTCTGCATTTGATGTAACTTGTAACTAACTACTTTTGGACATAAAATATCAATAAGAAAAGCAAAATAANTGACGAAAGCTAACTATATTTCTATGGCGATGGCAGCGAAATAGTCAAGGCTGGTTACCTCTGCATTTGATGTAACTTGTAACTAACTACTTTTGGACATAAAATATCAATAAGAAAAACAAAATAATTTTTTTATTTTATTTTTTTATTTTTATTTACTTTATTTATTTTATTACATTTCATATTTGTTTACATATTCTACTGTAGGTAGCCCCATATTCGAACTCCGTCAGATATAACTTCATAACTTATTTGTCCTCAATTCGAAAAAGGATTTGCGAAGTGCAGGATATTTAAATAGAAACGCGTTTAAAGAAAACAATATCCTTCATTACTCCTGCATTACTTGTCAAGTAGTTTCAAGTTAGCTTTTTGTAGCTAACTACAAGTTATTTATTTTTTGTAGAAATACCGCAAAAAAACTAACTACAAGTGGGTTATTTTTTATCAATTGATAATTTTTTTCTGCAGGACAGTACTGGTTAAAGGTTTGGTACGCGACTCGAAGACGAGCATTTTCAGCAATCAGAATATATCAACATTAGGGCTCTAAATTTATCGGTTTATCCGCATTCTGTCATGAACGCACCTTGGTAAATAATTGCACAAAATTGTTTATTATTTAACTGATCTGGCCAGTTACGTTGCATTCCTGCCTAATTTGCTTTTTATGGTTGAATTTTGCTGACGTCTACTTATGAGCAAAAATTTGAATTTCGGTAACCGGTTTATCAATTACTACCAAACTCGGTGCATTTAATAACCTTGGTAAGACTGTTATAGTCTTTTAGGTAGTTTAAGGAAAGTAGGAACGACGAAAGTTGATATCTGTGCCGGGTATATAAAATTCGGTTTCGTTCGAACTTATTCTTCTTTACTTGTTTTAAATTTGCATTGGAAAATGTCCTTCGTACGCCATGTACGAATATGGCGATGTACGATATGGCGTATGAGTAACATCGGTTTTCATCGGTAGTAGCTATTTTTGTAACCGACTTCCAAAAAAGGAGGAGGTTATCAGTTCGTGGGAATCTTTTTTTTTTTTTTTTNAATAACGGCTAGATTCTGTGTCAGTGACAAATTCTTGAAAAAATTCAAATTTGTCAGTAAACAAATTTTTGTCACCAGCACAGAATTGGGCTATAAATCTGTCATTTATTTAAATTTTCCTTGTTATAGTGTCCGGCTTCTATTCAATAATAAGTTCACGTATTTCGGCGTTTTATTTTTGCCATTTCAAAACTTATGACTTTCCCTACAGTGTAATCACTGAAATTGTTGAATGAAAACTTTATTAGTTGAAATTTTCCTTCCAGATGGAACAATGTTATAAGCAATTTCATTTGCCCGATTTCCACAGGTAGGAAAAAGAGACTAACATTCCAGAGAAAAACTAGTGGATGCAAGAGCATTTAATTTTATCTGAGATAAAATGTGATTTACAGGTTTGTACAATGCTTTTTGTAGAAAAAAGTTTCTGGCAAAAGTTATATAAGTATTTTTTCCATATAATCCGAGTCGATGGTCAAAGCATGTACATATATCCAATAAAATAACGTCTTCCGGTAATTTTATCCAACTTCCGGTGTCGAAAACGAATAGTTTGATATTTTTGCGTTTTCTAGTAAAAATCATTATAATCCATTTCAGAAGGGGTAGACGCGTGGTCTTTGACACCCTGTATAAGTAAACATACGTACATATATAAATGATTCATATTCTGGTCTGTTTTGGCAAATTTTCAAAAGCCCAAAGTAGAACGGACAACCAAAATTTATGACCACTTTTACCAATTTCAATTTACAGTTCTTCATACTCAATGCTATACTACAATGTTATTGTACTTAATACATATTGGCAGTATCGGTAATAATAAAATATCCTTGCTAATTACAGGTGTGGAAATCCAAGCGAATGGGGCTGCATTTATGCTTGAAAGCCCACCAACGAAAATCAGAACCGCAAACAAAACTTGCACTGAACCCAAAGGTGCAGAAATACTGAAATTCAATTAAATTTTTGGAATAAAAGCAAACACTCTACGAGGACTAACTAACTATTGCCGTAAGGAGTAAATGGCAAATTTTGTGATTTCTGAATAAACCGAAAATGAAAGTAGCGCAAGCACTAATTATACGGTGTGTGAACTAACCACATTGCTAGGAAGAATTCCTTATGCAGCCGAGTATCACATATGCAGCCAAGCGGGTGCGTTGGTGTGCATAACCATACAAAACATATTGCAGGCGGAGAAGCAACGAGGTGGCAAAGAGTTGTTCGTTTTTATACTTGAAAACGGATATATACTTCTGGGTTACCAAGTTTGCATGCAAGTACACAACGTACATACGTATGTATGTATGTATGTATGTATGTAGATAAATGTTTATTTACAAAATGAAGAAAGCTAGCATTTCAAGTTAGTAACAAAGCCAGTATTTGAATTTGGGAAGTGCAAAGCCAAAAAGTAACTTTGATTGTTGTGCGACTTCTTGTTAAGTACAAGTATTTTGGTTGTGGCAGAAGACCTGAGATGAAGATAAAGGCAGTGCCGTATGCTGTATATGAGTACAAAGTATATGATGGAACGGCGAGAGAGCAAATGAAGTAAGTTTGTAGAGCAAATTGCCTTCTAGCAGTTACAGGAATCACAAATATAAACTGTGCTACATACAGATGTATAAATGTAATATGAAAGTCAGAGAGGCGTACAGGGCGTATGTGAAACTTAATACAGAAAGTGAAGAAGCATGTACTTGAAAGAGATATGCATGTATGTGTGATTATGAAAATTCAAAGCCCTTTGGCAATACGAAGTATCTCCAACAAGCATGAACATAATAAAATATACTGGCAATACTACACTCTAAAAAGTGCATGTAAAACTACTACTGAAAAGTGTTTATTTTTCAACCAGAACCTGTTCAAGTATACGCACAAGATGTTCAAGATTTGATTTTGAACATGAGTTGTTTAAAATATACACATGAAATGTTTAAAATTACAAACATTTTGAAAGTAAAAATATATTTTTTACAAATAATAAATGCTAAGTGACAGGGGCGCACGCCGGAGTATATTTTTTGGGGGAAAGGGTTTATACTTCTAAATATATATCATCAGCAAATACTGAAAATTCGCTCTTTAAAATACATTTATGAAAGTTTTATTTACAGTATGAAATAAATATATAAACTTTTTAAAGTATCATCAATTGCATTTTATTTACATAAAATTTACAAAGAACTCAGACATTTTTAACCGGCTTCAAAAAAGGGGAGGTTATCAATTCTTCGGAGTATTTTTATTTCTATTATTTATTCCACCGCATAACTTTGCACCGCGTGAACCGATTCCAATAATTATTTTTTTTACCGGAAAGATGATACCTCGCCTCGTAATTTGGTTTAGATCCGATCATTAAATCATGAAAAAATGAACGGTTAAAGATGCACTCAACTTTCAAAAGTAATACAAAATTTTACAAAAGAATTTTAATATAAATAATTTAAATAACTTCACGAAATTTTTACACTTTTTTATTTATTTTCGTCGATTTCTGGTTTCTCATTTTTTAATAATTCGAAGAACGAAAATTTAACTGAACTTGTATTTTTATCATGTAGCTCATTTTGGTGGAACGAATTCGAAATTAGCAAATTAAATCTTCGAATGCTTATTAAGTACATATGAGTGGTAAACTTTTTTAGGCTGTAAAGTGTAAAAAGCAACAGTAAGTGAGTATGCATTGCATATTTTTAGGACAATGTTTTCATTCGCAGTTAAACTTTAAAGAGCTCTCAAGAAAAAAAGAAAAATTCTTACAAAATGACGCACAAGAAATGGAAAAGAAATTTTTTTCTTTCAAAATTTCTTATATCATAATAAATTTAGCCCCAAAACCCACCCCTTGTGTAAGTAAANCAGACATTGTTNTAATTTTGCACACACTAGGAGAGGAAACTGGTTACCTCTCTTTATATGCGTAAATTTAAACGAAAATTTTTTAGAGGAAATTTTAAACATGTTATGTGTAAACTGTGAAAATGTGAACAATAAATGTTTAAAACTCAATAAAACAAATTTGAAATTTGTTCTACGCCACACATATGATAAGTAAAAGTAAGCAAGCAGTGTTTAAATTTGCATTCATTAAGAGAGGAAACTGGTTACCTATCTTAATATGCGCAAATTTAAACAAAAATTTTTTAGAGTGTATGTGTAACTTGGCCTGCCGTCATACTGCTAACATTTCCTCGAGCAATTGTACTATATCATGCGCTGAGCCACTGGTGTGCAAAATTTAATAACGACAGTTGAAATAACGAGCTAAAAATAACAAAAACAAAGTAATACTTCCTCACATACACACGCCAACCGGCATACAACCCCACGTTCATCGGCCGACGCGCCTATTTATCCACAAATTGTACACAGTATGGAGCAATTTATGCGCGAATATGCCGTGCGGAGCATCCTGCCACATCTGCACACCTCCGGCGGCGGTGCGGTGCAGCGTTACGTACGCTATGCATTAAACTCGGCTATCGCGAATAGCCGCAGTAGCAGCAGCAGCGGCAACAACAGCCTACTCACCGCCGGCGAACTGGGTGCCTACAGTGCCGAGAGCAGCAGCGACTATTACTTTATCACATCTGCATCCGATGCCCAGCAATTGCATAACGACAGTGAAAGTGTCATAGCTGCAGCGCCCGTGACATCCGCTGAACTTATGTCGCAGCGGCTGACCTACAACGAAAGCAGCAATGATGCCGCCGCCGGAAGCCCATCCGTACTGGTCTTATCATCGCTCAAAATGACAATGAAAAATGTAGCCAATTTTGCTAATACCACAGCTGCAGCGGCAGCGGCAGCGGCATCTACAGCCATAGATGCAGCCACAGACGTGGAATTTGATGAGGCGTATGGCTTTGACGATATTAATATAACCAGCATTATCTGTGATGATACAGCGCAGAATAGCACCGAGGAGGTATCGGCGCTGTCGACTGTCTACTTTAAAACCGCCGTCTATCTGATGTACATTCCGATTTTTGTGTTTGCGCTGCTGGGAAATGGTACTGTGTGCTATATTGTGCAGTCGACACCACGCATGCGCACCGTTACAAATTATTTCATAGCCAATTTGGCTGTGGGTGATATACTGATGTCGCTATTTTGCGTGCCCTTTTCGTTTGTTTCGATTTTCATTTTGAATCATTGGCCTTTCGGCACAGTGCTGTGCAATCTGGTCAATTACTCACAGGCGGTGTCTGTGCTGGTGAGCGCTTATACGTTGGTCGCAATTAGTATCGATCGATATATTGCGATAATGTGGCCGCTGCGACCGCGAATAACGAAAAGGTGAGTAGAAAGTGAAAAAGAACATACATATATATGTATATATTGAATTGCTTGCATTTGCTAGAGTAATTTAAGCTTAATTCAAGTTGACTTTAGGAAATGCGTTTGTTTTTGAAGAAAGAAATTACCGTGATTTAGCGAAGCAAAAAATCTATATATATACATATATATGTATATATAAATATGTA